TTTTTTTTTTTTTTTTTTTTTTTTTTTTTTTGGTTTCTTGATGTTTGTTAGTGCAGAGCTTATGAAGTACTATATGTGAATGTAAACTTTTTGATTTCTTTTCAAACGTTCCAGTGATGTAGAACGCAAACATTGTTTGTCAACTTTCTGCGCCCTCCAATTTTGTATCATTAAGTGCATAATGAAGATATTCAAATAGGGAAGGCCTTTTGTGTGGAAGTTTTTTGATCATTTTTTGAACCACCGAACAAATTTACCGGAAGAAGAATGAATTCCACTTTATTTATTTCCAGACTTTTTTTTTTCACTTTCTTGGCATATTTACACTTCTTGTACTCTGATTTTAGGGGCTTTGGTTTCATAACTTTCGCAGACCCAGCAAGCGTTGACAAAGTTTTGGCGCACGATCATCATGAGCTTGATGGCAAAAAGGTTACTGCATTTGCGGTAGATTCTTTTTTAATGACTGCAGTTAAAATTCTTCCTGAATTATTGACGGATTATTTTTTCATTATTTAAGCTTGATACAAGCAATAAATTTTTATACAAAGCTATTTTGTTGTAACAAATTTGATTTATTTGCAGTTCTAATAACAACTTTTTTAGATTGACCCCAAAGTCGCTTTTCCGAAAAGAACTCAGCCAAAGGCGAGTAATAATTATTTTCATTTTATTCTTAATGTCAGAATAAAGCTGCATTCTCATTTATCTTATTCTGACGTATTTTGACTTATTTTTGATCCATAATAATCTTTAGCATTACGGTTTTTGATAGCAGCACAGTTAGTCGATTACTGGATTAATGTTTTTCTTATTAAGTTTTGTGGTTTATTTTTTTTGTGGTTGTTAGCCGTATTCGTCTGTATAACTCCTATCAAAAGTATAAAATCTCAAACGAAGTCTAATTTAGCCTCAGGATAGTTACGATCGGCGTTTTTTAATGTGGATGCTTATTACAAATGATAAGCTACCTTGCATTTTTCGTATCTTCTGCTATTCAGTTTTTCTATAGGACTTTTTTGCCAACTTTTTTCGTAATTTAATTTATATGAATTTATAACTAGATATATAAAGCCTCAATTTCTCTGAATATCAGTTTTTTAGTATTAGTAATAGTGTAGTGCAGCAAATTGGTGTAAACTTTTATGAAGTTTTTACATATCGCCATCTTTTCTTGAAAGTATATTTTTTTGTGAAATTTGTGTAGAAAGAATTGAAATGGACGAAAGCAGTTTTAGAAAAGAAATGAGTGATATGAGGAAGCAGAATAATTTTCCTGGCTTAGGTTGAAGCTTATTATATGTCAGTTTTTGTTGGTTTGGCATTTGTTTATAGCTGTTTATGTTTCCGCATGAGGAATCATCGTCAATGGTTTTTGCGTTCAAAGGGATTTGCTTTTGATTGAATATTGTCAAAATTTGTATTTTCTTTGCTTGATTCAGTATTTATTTGAGCCAGCTTTCTAAAGACTTTAATGCCGCTTGGTTGAACTCAAGTATTTCCAATAAATTTTTATTAGATACACTAAGTGTTAGGAACAGAACTCGGGATTGTTAGTTTGTCCTCTTGTACTGAGTTGGCTGCTTCCGAATTTTAGCGGAGGTATTTTGAACAGATTTTTTGCTGCTGAAGTAACAAAATTTTTCCAGTTATAGTACTGAAAAAAGTTTTTTCAGTCGAATTTTCTTTCAAGTTACTTCTTTTCTAAGTGTATACTGTTTAGATGATTATCAAGACAAAGAAGGTTTTCATTGGTGGGCTTTCGGCAGCATCAACATTAGATGACATGAAGAGTTATTTTGAGCAGTATGGCAAGGTTTGTTGTATTTCAAGCTTTTCTTACGGTCGAAAATTTTATTCTTTTTTTCTATTCTGTTCTGCTTTTTACTGTTTATTTTTTTTATGTTTGAAGTAATTAATATTTGTTTATTTTTTGACGGGGACTTGTAACTTTTATGTTTCAAGGCTTGTGTGGAAGAGGAATAAACATTTTTGTTAAATGTCTTAATTTTTGGTTTCTTTAGGTGGAAGATGCAATGTTAATGTTCGATAAAGCGACGCAGCGTCATCGAGGTAAGTTTTTTTATTGTTTTTTAATTATTCCTATTTGCTCTTTTTAAATATACTACCAAATGTAAGGTAACTATAATGTCATTTTAGAGTGGTTGTATTAATGTAATTAGAATTTAATTACTAGTTATTTTTACTGGTTAAAATTTACACGAAAGCAGCTAGTTACTTAGGTCTTCTGGGGTACTGTTAGCTGGTGCATTCGGGGGTGGGTTATTAAAATTCGGTAAAAAGACTAGTAATTGTAGTTTGTCTTGAAGAGCATAAAGAGGAATCAGGGTTTTGATAAGTTTTTATACTTTAAGATTTTAGAGGTTTGTTTTTTTGCCTTTTTGCAAAAAGTTTTGATGATCCACAGTTCTTATTTGTTTGTTTGTTTTTTTTTATTTGATTTTTTCGTGGATATTTTAGTTTCATTGTTAAGGTTTCGGGTTTATAACGTTTGATAATGATGATGTAAGCGACAAGGTGTGCGAAATTCATTTTCACGAAATTAATGGGAAGATGGTGGAATGCAAAAAAGCTCAGCCGAAGGAGGTTTGTTAGCAGTTGCTTTGTCAGTATTGTATAATTTATTGCTAGTGTTTCGGACGAGATAATCTGACTTAACCTGAATGGTAGTTCAAACTGCTATCTAATGATTACGAATTTTCACGCTCTTTGCTATTTTTAGGTAATGTTACCTGTTCAGCTAAACAAAAGCAGAGCAGCTGCGGCTCGTAATCTGTACGGCATTGGACCAGAACTTCTTGGCATGCTTTTACAAAATTTTTTGAAATTTGCTACTGTATTTACGTTTTAATTATTTTTGATTTTTTTTTGCAATGTAGCTTTTTTTCATGTTATTTGTGAGTTATTGTGTTTAATAATTCTTTCGCTTTAGCAGCTTACACTTCCTTCTATCCTCGACTCGGAGCTTATGGTGCTAACTTACTTTATCCGGGTGGTAAGATCTTTCTTCTATTGCATCTAATTTTATTGAGTTACTTTTATTCTAAGTGTTATTCTTATTATGTTGTGGAGGATTATTTCTATGAAATATAAAAATATGATTGATGTTGAAAATACACTATTTTAATTTTGTAGTAATATTTATCAGCCAAAACTATAAAGATAAGCTTTTTTTCTTGTTAAGCGTTATAACTTTTAGTCTTAAATGGTTTTCAATCATATGCTCCATTGACCCCTGCTTCACCACCGGGTAATACGGCGGGTAACGGCCTAGCAAACGGTGTGGTTCAACGCGGTTTCAATGCGGCAGCTGCACAAGCTGCGCAACAAGTCGCTGCATTGGAAGCACTTTACGGAGTTGGTGCCGAGCCTTACGCTGGTATCTATCCACCACTGCATCATCAAGCGGCTCATGTTCCTCATACTTTTCATAAAGTCTAAGTAGCACTCAAGTAAGAGCTGCATTTATCTAACACTAGTACATTTGTCTAATTTTTCGAGGTTATTAATGATTTTGTTATGTAAGGGGAATAAACCTTCAATTGATTCTCAAAGAATGATGTTATCAGAGGCTTACATTTATCTGAAATTTGGTTTTCAGGTCTTTACGACTCATGTCAAGTCACATGTACTTTTCATCTTTACGGATCACGGAAATATTGTTAGTTGGTGCAAGAATGTTTTGTTTGCCTTTTATTTTACATCTTCAACAGATGCATCGGTGGGAAAAATTTTTTGTCATGATTTTTCAATCCTTAATTAACGAAGGATATTTAAAAAGAAAAAAGTAGAAAATTTGGAAAAAGGAGTTGTTATATATTGTTTAATGCTATGCAGTATGTACAGTTTATGCAAATTTGTGACAGTTCGAATAATTTTGGTCTTTTTTGCTTACAATGTTTGTGGTTATATGTTGAATGGATGCGGATTTTGAAAAGCATCATTTTTTGTGTTACCATGAATTTGGCTTGTCCTTTCTAAAGATCTTTGTTACATTTATCTAAAGTTTGACGTTTTCTTAATTTTTCTTGTGCTCTTTTGAGTTTTTTTACAGCAGAGTTTTATTTGTTGTCATCTGCGATCTGCGTTTTTGCAGTTGGAAATTTTTATGAGGTATTTTTTTTTTTTGTATAAGTCAAACTGCTCGTTCTGTATTCATCTGCTCCGTCTGTCTTCTACTCCCCCCTCCTTCCGTTCTCCGTCGTTCTTCCGTATACCCTCAACTCATACCCGCCCTAAAAGACCTTGTTTCTGAGAATATTGAAAATCCAGTAATTTCGCCGTCTTCTTGTTTCTGGTTTGATTTTATCTGGTAATTTTCTCGAGAGCAATATTATTTGATTCAGGTGTTCTGTTACATCGGTGACTTTCAGTTCTCCAAAACTTGCCGATGTAAAGATGATTCTGTGTCCTGTTAATAGTCTACGAAACTATTTTACTTTTTCCTTCTCTTTTTTTTTCTCATTTTTTTTTAACTTTGTTTCATCTTTTGCTGTTGCGGGGACTTGGAGTTCTCATAATGTCTATCCCTCTAGCTTTAGGTTAATAGTTTTGTAGTTCTTCGATAGATTTATGTTCGTTTTTTTTTCAGAAATGGTCTTTTAGTGTTTTTTGTAAGCTAACAATTTTTTTTACAAATTTAAAGGCACCAAATTATATTTTTTTTTGGGGATTTTTTTTGCATTTACTGCTACAACACTTGTTTTATTTCTTACACATGTTGTATCGGCCGAGTTGGGCAAGAATTTTTTTAGTCGTAGAATAGTTGTTATCTTAAGTTTCGCTTAGTTTAGCCATGACATCAAGTACCGCGTATTTTCTGAAAAGAAAACGTGCAGTGTTAGTTTGATGTTTTATTAAAAAAAAAAAAAGAAAAAAAAAAAGAAAAAAAAAACAAAAAAAAAAGAAATAAAAAAGAATTTGTTCTTTTTTCTCTTATATTTTGCAGTTTACTGAAATTTGGTAATAGAAGTTATGTCGTTTTTTCTCTTCTTTTTGTCAGAAAGTGGAGAGAAAATGAATTAGTTTTGTTGTTGTTGTTTTCATCATTATTAGTTTTTTCCTACTTTTATTGTTTTTTCATTACTACTTTTCTTTTTTTTTTTTTTTTTATCGTCATCATCGTCATTATTATCTGATTTTCATTCGTTAGCATACCATTTAGAACTTCAACGCAGTATCGAGGTAGTTCGGCAGTTTAAGGAAAATAAAATATATTTTCTATGTTTACTTTTGTTTCTTGCTGTTTAGCAGGATTTGTTCACCTAGAGGTTTCTGATTCTTGTAGCCCGGTGCCCGGCTGTAAATTTTTTATTTTTATTACTACAATTATAATGTTTGATTTCTTTTTACTTGTATTTTTTCCTTCTCGTTTTAGTCATCAGGTTAAATGTCGTTTCATGGTTAATCAGTTTGGAACTGCTCTTCAAATTTGTCTGGTAGGTTTTTTGTTTTGTACTTGTTTTTTTTGCTAAATTACGTTATCGGAGCGGAAAATGATTGTTTTAGCGATTAAGCTTAAGTAGCGTTATGTCGGTGTTTAATAGTATTGGCCATTTTCTTTCTGTCTTTTTCATTTCTTTGTTTCATGATTATTATCACAGTCTTCTGGCCCCCAACTCCTATAACATTACATCAGCTGATCCACAAAAGAAAAAAAAAAAAGAAAAAGGAAAAAAAGGAAAAAAAACAAAAAAAGGAAAAAAAGAAGAAAAAAAGGAAAAAAGGAAAAAAAATGTAATCTGTGTATTTAAGCCGACAGCGGGTATGTGTATAGATAATACTGCGTGGTTTGCAGAATCCGTTCTAATCTCTACTGTTTCTGTCTACACCTAAAAAAGCACAACTTTGTTTTCTTCTTCTATAGAACAAAGAATAAGCGTTTCGATTTTTTTTTTTGTGACTCAATTTTTCTCTTTTTTTTTTTGGTTTTTCAAGAAGGAGAAAAAAAGGAATGAGATGAAGGAAAAAAAAAGATCAATGAACAACTCCAGTAAGTGGTTATTTATATTTTTTTGTTGTTGCTTAGAGGAAAGATTAAAGTTGATATGTATTTATGCGAAGAAGAAAAAGGAACAAAGAATAAAGGGGAAAATATTTTGATTTATGTATATTTTTTCAAAATATTTTTTATTACTACATCATCATCGTCATCGTCATCATTTTCTTTTTGTTCTGTTCTTTCTCCTCTCTTTTTTGATTTTTTTTAATTTAATTTGAAGATGACTGATTTATAAAGAAAAAAAAAGGGAGAAAAACTTCACTTTTGTTTGGTTTTGGTTTCTTTTGTTGTTACTGGATGTTTGACTGTTTTTTTCTGGTGGGAAAACAAAAATTCGGAGAAAAACAGTTAAAGAAGGTGGTGAATGAAAAGGACAGGCCAAAAAACTGAACTTGTTTTACACTTAATTTTTTTATTTCTAAAACGATTCATTGATATTCCTATCCTCAAATGTATCCCGTATCAGCCAACCCAGTACCCGTATTCCCTCCCCTCTCCTCCTCCCCGGTAAACTCTTATGTACGGTCAATTAACTGTTCAATTTTGATTTTTTCATTCATTCTTTCATTCATTTTTTTTTTCTTTTGCAAGTTTAAATGTTGATTACTGCTTAATTGCAAATATTTTTGGTTTACTTTTTTTCCTTTTCTATTTGTTTGTTTTGTTTGTCTGTTTGTTTGTTGGTTTGTTGCTTTGTTTTTCTTCATTTTTCCCCTCTCATTTTGGTCTCCCTTTTTATCAGCTTCCACCCAGTTTTTGGTTGATTGTTCTTTAGAGGCTTCGCAAATAAACTGTAATGAAAGGCGTTGGTTCATTAGGGGGCGGGAGAAGAAATTTTTACATTTTCAAAGTTTAAAATTAGTTGAGGGTTCGAAAAAAGGAAAGAGGGGGAAGAAAAAATGTAACAATTCTAGTTTTTCTTTGAGCGACATCTAAGAACGATTGAAAGATGATAAAGGGGTAGGTAAGTGGTTAGAATGAATCGGTTTTTCTTAGTTCTTTTTTGTTTGGGTTTCTTGTTGTGCCAAAAAAGATTGTTGCAAAAAGAGTAATATAAATTGTTATTTGGTAAGCAAACAAGCTTACTTTGTTGGTATGCTTGCCAGTTTGGTTGGTTTGATTCTTTAGAAACTTGCTAACACTATTGGATACAGATGTTGAAAAGAAGAGAAAAAAACTTGTTTATTTATTGCCTGTTTTTTTTTCTATTATTTTTTATTATGTATCTCTTTGCAATAAGGAAGTGAGGCAAACGAAAGCAAAAGTAAGGAGGAGAGAAAGAAGGTTATTTGTATTTAATTGTGCTCGTTGAGGGTAAAGAATAGTTGATTTGGTTTCTTATGTGGTGAAAAATTGGCGAATAAATCTACACTTCATATGGATTTATATTTTTGATTTTTTTGATTTTTTCTTTTTTTGCATTACTTCTGTTTTTTTTCGTTTTTTTTCCGGTTTTTTTCTAATATTTGAATTTGATTTTCGAATAATAATTCGTTCTTTTTTCTCCATCTACACTTTTGGAACAGCTTCTGCAATTCTGATGCTCTCGAAAATGATAGTGGCGTATAAAAACCATGTTGATATTTTTGAT